AATGGGCTTGACAATACTCTTAGGTTTATGCTCTCTAATAATAACAAGTTGGAGTTTGTTATCTAAGATTCAGATCCAAAACTCCAATGTTACTTTGACTCTTGAATATAATTTCATTGGAATGCAAGAATACAAGCTGGTGAACGCCTAGATATGATAAGGGAAAATCCGAGAGCATCTCAAGTTTCTTCTTGTGGTCGGTAATAGATTCAGAGCAGATAATAGTTGCCTTCTTTAAACAGCTTGCAATTCTTAAGATGAATGCTACTACTTCTTTCTCTACTTTTGTACCTTTATAATCTACCCATTCGAATGTTTCAAGACTCGATAACATATATTCAGCTACCAAGCTCGTTTCATTCCAGCACGGTCGCGGCTCAAAAAGCCGAAGGTCATGGCACTAGAGATACAAATATAATGAAATTTGATCAATCATATCAAATTAAGACCATTATATATATATATACCTCTTCAAGTCTGAGAGCTTGTAAGTTAGGAGAATCTCTGAGCACACGAGTAAGTAAATTCAACCATTCTGTCTCACATGTGCATAGTGTTAAATGTACAAGAGAGCTGAATATACTACCAACCGGATACGCATCCTGCATATACCAAGATGACATTAATTATAGTGTAGTGTCAATAGTACTTTCGATCGATCATATATATAAGAGAACTTTGCTATTTTTTTTGGTTACAAGAACTTTGCTATTTTCAATAATGCAAATTGCAAAAGGATAGAAACAAGCGCATGTAGTAAAGAACATATATTAGTACCTTTGAGGTTGGTACACAGAGATAAAGACGCTTGGCTGATATAAGAGAATCCATCAACTTCTTCCAAGGATCCCAGTAATCAACATCAAGATTTGCTTTGACAATCTTAGTCATATTATTCTCAATGACACAAAACGCATCCGACTTAACAGTAATGTCCACACACTCCAAAGAATGACCATCTATCACATACCCATGACTATCGTAATTATCGTAATTTATATATGATCTACACAAGACTAGACTCTTTAGAGAAGGCACTCTAATGGTTAAAATGGGCACATTGTCATCTGGAATTTGCTCCACCTCCAAGTCTTCAAGAACAGGACAACAATATAAAAGCCTCTTGAGAAATTCATCACTTGGGTACTTGACGAGTTTAAGACTCAATATTCTTAAGAATGAGAAAGAAATTGAGGAAGAAACATGATCCAGAAGAACCGTGTTCATTAGTTTCAAGGCCACAAGCATTCTGCACCATGCACACAAGCTCCTTGGAAGTGTGAGTGGAGTTTCACCAAATTTCTCGACAATCAGCTCACGCGCACGAAGTTTATCTACAGCTCTAATCCACACTTGTATATCTCCAACAACACAAGATTTAGAAAGTTTGAAATGCAAATTTTCTATAGCAGGAGCCTCGTGCATAAACAAAGATCTGTTTACAAACCGCGAAAATCTTACGCGCTTGATATTTTGATAGCTATCGTCGTATATCAGTTTTGGAACCATCATCCAAAGAAATTGCCACCGTTTAGACAAAAGCATTGTGACCACGACATGTTTGGTAGGCAGAAACGACAATATTTGCAAGAGGAGCTCATCATGCAACCGGCTTATTCTGTCCATAATTAAGCTTAAGCCCTAATAACCTTTATTCAAAGCCAAAACATGTCCAAACAGTTAGTCATAAGCAACGACGCAGGTTCAAAGAGAAATACAGAACAACTCACAAATAGAAAGGAGACGAAAACAAAATCCAAACTCTTTCGAAATCATAAGAATTAGAAGAAAGTCACAGAATATAAACAAATACCTAGAACCTACGTTGGAAAAAAAAAACATACCTTTTAAACAGTTAAAACTCTCTGGTAACTTTATTGTAACACCAAAGAAAATACTCTTTTTTTTTTTTGGTCGTGAAAACACTTATTTAATCGATCAACCGAACAAAAAATCAAATCAAATCAAATCGTATTAGGATTTATTTCACTTCTTATAAATAATATA